AGCGGGTGGTCATGAATATCTGGTTTGGCTCTTCATTAAAAAGAAAATACATATCCAATTCTCTTTCCTGATACTCAAAGCTACTGGTCTTCCTTAACTACGAACTCCTAGAACATCTACGTTGCTTTATAACAACAAAAATTGTCAATCAGTGTGAAAATTTCTCAAGCACAGGGACAGAAATATTGCAAGAACTTTGACTGAAAATGCAGAAAAGAGGGTTAGGAAGGTAGGCACGGAACCATGACATATTCACAGCTGATAAATGTAGAATGTGTTGCAGGCCTCCTTCAACAAACTATGCACATAATTGAAGCACACATGCAGAGATATAAATTTAAAAAAAAAGCAGTCTGTAAGCTGCTCAAGCTATTTACAAAAAATTACTGTTGGGAAGAGAGAAAGAGAAAGAAATGTTGCTTTCATTTGCAAGTACTCAGGAGACTTCCTGTGTTATGACAACTTAGGATTTATAAGCATGTAGACAGAAAGAACTTGCTTTTGGCCCCCAGTGAATCTTTTCTGGCCTTAAGGTATTTTATTGAACCTTAGGTTTCCTCATAGATGATATTCCTCTGTAGTTTGTTAAGCTTCACCCTGAAATATATTGTATTAGAACTGAACTGCTGGTAGTGTATATGCTGGTGTTCTTTGATTGCTTTCAAAATTTGCCCCTATTTCCTTTTCTCTAGGGTGCACTTTCCCTATGAACCCAACTATTGTGTCTTGCAAATGCTTGTTTTGTCAGGCATGAGAGATCACTTATCTCCTTTGTATTCCTGATGGCTAGTAAAGCTCTATATTTTGGAGAAGATATTTCCAGCAAATTTGTCAGGAAAATAATTTGCAGATTTGCACACCAATATTATGCTTTATTCATGTAGATTTCTCAGTCCATAAACTGTTTGAATGGCTGTCCCAGAACAAAGGCGATGCCTTTAATATTGAGGCCTTTGATCTCTTCTGCGTACTAATTATCAGTTTTGGCTTTCATTGTGCTATTCCTTTTGTTCCACTGTTGGATGTTTTCCAGTTTTTTCATTTTAATTCTTTTCCCTGGTATTTCATATTAATTTTAAAAAATTATTTTATGTGACTAACTTTAAGTATTATGTTATTGTCATGCTAACTTATACTCTGACATTATGCCTCAATATGATATTGTAAAATCACCAGCAGCAACCCCTTTCCATTACATCATTGTTATCCTGTTATGCACAATAAATTTTTAATGGCTCTTGAAGGTACAGTCTTTTCTGCCAAAAAATGTTCTTTCACAATTGCTTTCTTTCCATTTAGAGGTAGACTAGTTGAATGGTGGGCATCCTGTTGGAGATTAATACACAAAAAGTGACCACTACCTTTCCATAAACCTTCTTCCCTAGAACAAGGTGAAAATAAACCAGAACCAGAAAGCTTTCTTGTGGTCAGCCAGTTTCTTACTCCTGATTCTTTTTGCTATGGAATGATTTACACTACAGATCCACATTTAAAGATCTCCAGATTATTTCCATAATGTGGAAGAATTGCTATAGGTGGAAAGTTTCTGACCCTGTTACCTATAGCATTTGTGCTGCTTTTACCCAAAGCAGTGAAATTTGAATTTTCACAGTGATTAAATGTTGGCTAAGGAGAGGAGAGCACAGAGAAGGGCTAAGTCTTTCAGGACAACCTTGTACCAAACAGAGAAGGTCTTATTGGTGAGGATTAAAAGAAGTCATTCCTATAAAGAGACAAATACTTGAATTTAGTGACCACAGATGTTTGGGGAATAATCTGAAAATGTAAATCTTTGAAAGGTGTGTTCATCTCATCTGATGACAGCACTTCAGTCCCTGCACCTGGAAGCATTCTCAGAGTAAGCAGGAAAGCAACCACGAATAATTGGCATGTCTTTTCTTCTCAACACAGCTCTGGTCTCCCAGACTTTGACTATCCACAGTTCCAGGAAGGCTCTAAGGAGAGGAGATGAAGAGATGGGACTCCAAGTGGGCAGTAGGAAGACAAGGAGCAGAGGAGCTTCCTGCTTGCCTTTAAAGAAAGGCACAAATTTGAGTGGAAGCACCTCTGTCCCTGTTTCAGACTAGGCTTCTGCTGCTGTCATACCAACTCCTGCTCAGAGACCTGGCCCTTTGTTAGCACTGCACAGCATTGCACTTATGTGCAGCTACTGACACTTTCCAAGCAAAGCCTCAAGACTCACCTGAAGTCTTCTTTTCCTTACAGGCGGATCACAGTTTTTGGCTTTTCTCTTGCAGTTGAACTCCCTCACAGGACGGTCACCTTGAGCAACATTTTGTCATTTGTTTCATATCTAGCTACACACCTGTCTCCTACCATGTTAACAGCTCGCTGGCCTCAGTAAATGCATTCCAAGATTGATCTTCTTTACAATTTCTGTGCTAGGTGTTTCTTTAGTCCTGTAGGTATCATGTTAAAACAGATCAATTCCACCATACTGCGTAGCGTAAAATAGCTAGGAAAGAGAAGGCCCCTCTTCCACCAGTATAAGCAGTTTGGTCACGTGTGTTGGCCTTTTCCCCTTAATGTGCTGATAAGACTTTAATAGCTGAGGTAGTGTTTCTTCAACATAATTAAGGCAGTTTTAGTTTCTTTCTGCATTTCTGTTTCCTGTTGCCTCTTCAAGCTGCAGACCCCCTGTCAACCAGCAAACTCCTCTCTCTTGCTCTCTCTGTGTCTCCCTGGAGTTATATTTGAGCCTCCTTTTGAAATCTGCTCTCAGAGGATTCGTGCTAAAGGGAAAAGGTGGGAATGTTTTGGAAATCCTTTTAGTACAATAAATTTAGCTTTATAGGTCAAAAACCTTGTTAATTCTCACTAAAATGCAGGTTTCCACGTTTGGAGGCATACCAGCTATTCCAGTTGTATCCCAGTGTGATGGTCTGCCATAAATTTCAAGGAAGACTTTTCAGCTATGGTAACTTGAATGAGCGATCATGAATCTAAAATGCTCCTTTTCAGCCCTTCAGGAGGTAACCAAAGAAGCAAACAGAAAACCAAAGGGACAGTAGCCTGTCCTTTTTATATCTTTTGTATTCTTCATCTTACAGCTTCACTTTATGTTTCCTACATACTGATTTTCTTGATTCCAGGTTCTGTATTTAAAGTATTAATTTGTGATTAACAAGGGTACTTTTAATGAGTCAATTCCAAACAGTAACAGTCCACTCCCACAACTGTTTGTCAATTGTGATATCCGAACTTGAATTTAGAGACAGGTCCATACCTCTGTTGTGTTCACACCTATGACATATCATACATCTGATGAAACTGGGGCTCTGTTACTGACTAATAGAGAATGTGAGTGAGGTGTAACCAAAGCATCTACAGTCCTTTATACCTCAGCAGTTTTCCCCTGAG